GGGGGAGAGAGGGGAGAACGAGTGAAGCCCGGGGGGGGGGGAAGACATACCACAGACGAGTGAAGGTGCTACCGGGGGAATGGATAGACGGATACTTACTGCAGGGGCGGGGGGGAGGGGGCGGCAGGGTTACGTCGGACGGGATGTGGAATCTACCTAATTTTCTATGCTTATATTTAGGATTTTTCTGGGGGGTAACTACATTCCAAGTATGCCAAGACAAGCAAAAGCGAATGCCGACATTCCGACAGTAGGAAAGGCGCAACGAAGGGGACATCGATTGAAGGGTGGGGGGGAAAGGAGGAGGAGGAGGGCGGGGAGGAGGGCGGAATGCAGCGCTGCTTCCGCTAGCCCCTTTCCTCATTTCCATCACCCCAGGTCAACGTCCGCGCGCCCTACATCTGCCGCACCGTGTGCTCCCGCCCATACACACCTACAGTCCTCTCCATCTTCCCCCCCGAACCCAACCCCACCATCTCAACCTCCACTTCGAAAACCCCAACCCGTCCTTTCCCCCCCCATACACACACACACCTTCTCCATCGCCCAACCACGCACACGCGCACCCAGCCAAATCCCACCGCCGTACACACACACCGATGTGTTTTTCCCCACACCCCCCAGAATAACCGCCTCGCCGTCCAGTTAGGTAAAACTCTCCCCAACAAGCCGGCGGTGTTCCGGACCCCTGCTTCCACTGGGGAACCCCCAGCGGCGGCCCCCATACACATACATACATACATACATACATACATACATACATACATACATACATACATACATACATACATACATACATACATACATACATACATACATACATACATACATACATACATACACACCTACCCGACGTGTACATAATGGTGCACAGGTCCTCCGGCCCCGGCTTCACTGGCCGTACGTCCCCCTGCCGTACACCCGTGGCTAGCAGCTCCTCCCAGGATAGCACTGTCACGCCCGTGTCCTTCAGGGACTGTGTGTGTATTGGGTGCATGGGGGTTGGCGGGGAGGGAAGGCGACGGGGAAAGTACGACATGCAACGGATCAACTACCGAGGTCAATAAAACCCTAGGGTACAACTGCTTTGTTCGTTAAATTCCGGAAACACAGCCCCCAAAGCTACCGACAACTTTCGTCGTCCTTGTCTCAACGCCTTCCACGACTTTAATTTATGGGAATGACCTTCGTTGGGGCTTAACTCGATTAGAGGTCGAGGGTGGCTGTGTAAAAAAGGATAAGGCCCCTCTTCCCCCCACCGACCTGACACCCCTCTGGTAACCTCGCCTCACCTCAGTCCCATCCACATCACCCCTCTCCCTCTTACCCCCTCCCCTCCCACCCCTCCCTCAGGCCCCCCTCTGCCCCCCGCCCACACACACACCACACGCACCTGCAGAACATCCTCGGGGGGTGCCGCGCCCCAATACACCACTCCTGTATTGACCACTTGTCGTACAGCTGACGAAGCCAGCGCCTGCGACACCACCTTTAGCTTTGAGGACGATACGACCAGCAGCCGGCTGAGGGGACATGCGGGGGGGGGGGACGGACGGAGGAGGAGGGGGGGAGGGACGCTCACATAACAAGTTAAAAGTTCTCCACAACCTACACACACAAACACATACAGGAACATACATACAGGAACATACAGATAAACGGATATACTACCGCTCAAGTTGGTAGAGCACTGGGCTAGATAATCGGAAAGTCTATAGTTCAAACCCAAGAGCTGGGATCTAGCTTTATCGGAAGATATGAGTTCGGATCCCACCGCTGGTCCCCCGGGTGGATCTGGCATTGGGTATCGGATGCTGGGATGAGACACTGGGCTCCTTTCACTTTGGGGGCCGGCTGTAGTGGGAGTTCACCAGTAAGATCACTCCACTGCCGCAGAGCAGTGGCGGAGGAATAGTTCTGCATAGGGCCTGAATCAAGCTGTATACCAAATGGTGGTTGTATAACGAGACCGAGCGGCGGCGGGATTCCCAAGGATAGGGTGGCTACACATACATACATACATACATACATACATACATACATACATACATACATACATACATACATACATACATACATACATACATACACACACAGACATCACCGGGTCCTTCACAGCAGCTTCCCCCTCCCCCTCCCCCTCCCCCTCTTCGTCCTACTGTGGCGGGATGTCCGTGTGTGTGGGTAACGGAGAGCCCTCCCGCCAAAAGGTCACCATGGAGTTTGACTCTTCCCCCCCCTCTCTCCCTCCCTCCCCCTCACCCCCATCCTCCCCCCCCCCGTCACCCTAACACGGCATCATCGACCCACGTCTCGCTATGTTTGATGATAAACTCCACGGCCGTGTCGCCCAGCGTCTCGTACAGCGGTACACACACCATCGACATGCGGTTCATGCCCTGCGAGCCAAGTGTGTGGTGGTGGTGGTGGTGGAGAGGACGCAGGAATGGATGAATGTGGAGAGGAAGGTTTTCTCTTGGGGGGTTGCGGGAAACATGGGCATGCGGGAGGAAGGGAGGGGGAACCCAGCGAAGCGTGAAGCCTGGGAGCGGGAGAGCACCAAGAAGGAAGGACGAGGCACACGGCGTGCAATACACAGACACAGACACGCATGCACAGGTGGCTCCTCGTGGCTCCTCGTGTGTGAACATGGGAGAAGGGAGTAGCACCAGCAGCAGTAGCGTGCCCTTCGTCGTACAGGACCTTCGCGCCTGGCGATCTCCCCGGGGGGCCCAACTCCGCAAAGGGCCCTTAAACCAGGCTCGCTGCATTCCCGTCTCAAATACCCCTCAATACGCCTCAACATATTAAATATTAAAACAAGGTAGAACACTTTGCCCCGAGTAGTAGCGGCAGAAAGATACGTCTCTGGGTCGGCTGCGTTTAGGTCATATTCGGAGCCCGCAGTTGGTTAACTTTGGTTACCCTGCGAAGAGAGGCTCCTTTAAACCTCTTCTCACTCCACCGCGCCGCCTCGGGAAGAACTATTTCAGGGAGATGCGTTTCGCGCGATTTGGGTTGTCTGCTTTGAAGCCCCAATAATGCCCCCTTTTCCTGTCTTCTAGGGTTCCAACAGCAGCTTTGCTTTGCCCTCCTCCCTAGGGGAGGGGGCCCCGACGTCCTGCTGTCTCCAAGAGCTGTCCTGCTGTTCTTACCTGCATGGCGATCATCCACTGCTTGCAGTTGGCCCCCAGTACACCAACCCGGTCGCCGGGTTTCAGACCCAGCCGAGTGTAGGCGCTGGCTACAGCCGCCACCGCCGCATAAACCTCCCGGTACGACATAAAGCGGTACGGACCCGCCCTGCCATCCTCGCCGATGGGGCGCTCGCCCAGGCAGGGGCAGTCGCCGTACAGCTTGCAACTCTTCCTGAGTTACGCGGGGGAGAGGAGGGTAAGGGAAAGGGAATGAGGAGGTATATGTGTACGAGTGGGATTGGCGTTGGGCAATAGTTTGGGAGTTTGGAAAGCGTTTGGAAAGATCTTTATGAGGTTTGCGGGTGTGCGAGAGGAGAAGGTAATGGAAGAGACGGCGCTTGTGCAAATGTTGTAGGGGTATGGGAGTTGTGGGCGGTTATTGATGGAAGATGCGAGATGACCCGCGGGTCTTCACAATTGAAACGGTTCGCCGGTCCAAAATCAAGGCCAGGAATATCATCAGCTTTGTTGTAAATGAATAACATTTTAGGATTCCAAGCGATTGTCATAATGAAACTGCTGGCGACATGTAGGCATTGCGTCATCACGAATGACTACTTTGCTCCTTAAAGAGGTGCTGTTGGAAAGTGCGCGGTGGTTGGTCCCCTTGGACCGGCCCCAAAGCCCTAAATTAGATACGTACGCTTGGTTCGCAAACCTAATCATGGTTTGGCGACGGCTAAAGCCCAACGATGATGTGGTCTGTCAACCAACATCGGGAACTTCAAGACGAATTGCGGATATCCCGGTTGCCCCTCGCGAACCATGGATGCTTACTCAAAGAGATCATAACAAGTTTCGATACCCTCCAATTTGGGGAAGCCATGCTTGTGGAAAGCTGGCCGGTACACTGGTCCAACCTCAGGACGCCCGTTCTTGCATCGCGCGGGCTCGACTTCCGCGAGCAGGGGGAACGGATTGCCATTGGACTTCGCCTTCATGGCGTCGCACGGGTGTCTGCTGCCGTCAAGTTGCTGTGTCCAATCCTTTCGACAGGTACGGAAATCGGGAAGAGCGTAACTGGGGCGGGAGCTAGATGTTACAGTGTGGATATAATCCGAAGTATGTAATTAACACGTTTGCATACATTTGCATACAGTATCTCGGATAGCGAAAATGCATAAGCCCTCCGATTCCGTACCTTCCGATTTTTGTCATGGACACGCAATCAGATGCGAACGTCAGCCTATGACTTCACATGCACATGCACAACGGTTTGAAGGGAATTTCTTGTGATTTCAGGCATCTCTATCTTTGCACACGAGCGCACGAGCTTTGCGGGCATCCTTGAGCCGCTTGCAGTTGACTACTTCGTGATTAATTAATTTACTATACAATACATTTGACGCTTGTCTGTCAAATGTAAATCGACTCCAAAAGCACTAAGTAGGAATTGAGTTTATTCACAGGTACCTGGACCAGCAAGCAACATTGGATTGATAGGAAAGCTCCTGTATCAGTGCGGAGTCTGGAGTCGCTGTGAGGAGACAGTTCCGTTCTCCTTCTGCCTGTCGAAACCAACGGCCAACGTCCATCTTCAATCCGCGTCTCTGAGAGCATGCCTTTCATTCGGGGAATAATTTTTTCATCTGAGCTTCTAGATGGTGGGTACCGTAAGCCGCATGGCACTAAACACGGCACCATGGTCATAGTAGTCAAGGGGTGCCACTGGCGCTCTTCACAGGCATGCTTCACTCAAGTTGTGACCTCGGTCATACACCTATACCGCTTTCAGGCTAATCAACATCCTTCAAGCTCGCATTGCTTCCCTGCGTTGCTCCTTGCTTGTGCACGGAGGCCACGTCCAATACGAAGACCGTCCCCAGCACCGTATACCCAACAGCAGCCAACAGAAGGGAAGACGCGAGGAAACTGGGTGATGGGTTAATTTACATACAACAGCTATACAGAAGTCTACGCGAGAACCAAGTAACCCTTGCCCATGTTTCCATCTATCGTTCTCCCCCACTCCGACTCCTTGGGTGCTAGAAGTACACAACCGATAGCCACAATACCAACATGGAAACGGAATAGCAAGATAATACAGAAATTAAAAACGTAACCCCAGAGGGCACCCCATATGGCCGTGAGGGTTGAGGGGCCGGAGGGCCATATGGGTTCAGCTTCAGCTTTCGTCGCGTGAACCCTAGCCTTGGTCCTGGCACACTGGCCGCACAGCTGACATTGCATGCGTGACTAGCGCCAGGCACACAGTCACGCGCATGGAAGAAAGCAAGAGATTGTGTACATGTGTGTGCGTGCGTGTGTGTGTTTTTCTCTCCCTGTTTTAGCGCCAGTGTACACGAGGACAGTGGAACATGGGGGAGAGCCCTGGTGCCAGCGACTCACAACCACTGCCCGTCCGCCACTCGCCTCCTGCTGCCGCTCAGCACCACCCTTTCGGTCGCATTCTTGTGCCGCCAAAAGAAGCGCCATTCCCGCGTCATTCGCCGTTGCCCACATCTTCCACACTCAGTCCCCTGCGGATGTGCCACTACACGTCGCGACCAGGGGCCCCTGACTGCCGACCGCCACCACTATATCACCACTACCTACCACCTGCACCCGCAACACCACTACACTACCTACCACCTGCACCCACTACACTACCTACCACCAACCCCAGATTGCCTGCCGCCACCCAGCACACTAAAGAGGGCTGAAAGACAGCATACCGCTTGGTGCACCCCCGCCTTAGTTTCAATTTTTGTCATCATCATTCCTTGTATTTCTTCGTTCCTTTCCTTGTACTCCCGCTTGTAATTTTCCATACTCTTAGAATAAGCAGCCACGGCGCCCGGCACCCCACAACGCCACATGCTCGCTTATACACTCTGAACCTCCTAGGTTCACTCCATCCTGGAACCATACATCCGCCTCTCATCCCCACACCCACACACCCACATTCAACCAAATCCCAGGCTGTCAGTCGCTCCGTGACCAGCTCCAAATGCTGCACTGGGGCGGACTGCACCTTGCAGTACTGATCGCTGATGCTGCTAGTGCTGCTAATACTGGCGCTGGTGCCGATACCGAGGCGCCCCATTCAGCAGCAGCCGGTGGCCAGGCCCCAGCCGCAACCTCCTTGTCGGGCTCTGGTGCTGGTGGGCGCTACGGTTGCGAGGCTCTGTCCGTCCTGCACCTGCAGCTGCGGCCTACCGCACCAGAAGGTGGCGTGACGGCTGAGCGGCTGCGACCTGTGGGTCAGCCAGGTACGGTGCATGGGTGTATGACACGAAACCCACCCAACCCCCGGGGTTCCCCTTCACAGTCTTTCCCCTTCCCTCGGGGAACCCCCTTCTCACCCCCCCGGTGGCATAGGCCCGGAAGAAGTCGCCAATGGAAAGCACGATGAGGCTAGAGCTGCAGTCGCTGCGGCGGCAGAGGCGGCTGCCGCGGCCTGGGCTGCGGGCCTGGGACTGTTGTGGCCCGAGGAGGTGCTGGTGCTGGCGGCGGCAGGGGATGGTGCGGCCAGTGCTCTGCGCAGGAGGCTGTTGCAGCAGCAACACCAAAATGGGAATGACGAGGTGCTGGGCAACGCTTCTGGCACGCTAGAGGAGGAGCTGGGGGTGATGGTGTTGCCGGGCATAGCTCTTGGGCACGTTGGGGGAAACGTGGAGGTGCGGCTGGAGGGGGAACGGGTTGGAAGGGAAGGGAAGGTGGGAAGACGGGGCGGAATCTTGGAGGTCACAGCGGGTAGGGAAAAGGCCACGTAAATGCCTGGAATAAAGATCGCCTAAGAAGTGTGAGCACGGCGCCAACGCCACCCCTCCCCCTTGAATCAAACTGGAGGGTGTGCGCCGTCATGTCTCGGAAGTGGAGCTGTTAAAACCAACAAAGCGCCGGACCCCTCCCGGGTCCTATTACTGCTGTTACCATCCACTGGTATATGAGTGTCGGTCATTTCCAACAGGAGCACACCAGGTAGCTCTCCGAGTTGCAGCATAGGTGCATCAGGAAAATCTCCGGGTCTCCCACCCACCCACCCACCTATCCGGGGTATCTGATGAGCATCCTGCTAGGTCTGATTTGCAAGCGTGTGATGGCGACCATGACGTCTTGGCCAGTACCTCCCTCTCCCTCTCTCCTGGGGATGTTTCGGGCGTCGGTTGTTAATTACTTGATCCGTGTGATCACGAATTCCACCCACAGTGAAACCCTTCTGTTCCTCACCTTTACGCGCTTTTTGAATATCCGTAATGCCTCTTTTTTTCCGTCCATGGCCCCGGGGTGTTTATGGACCGGACCCCACGTGCAGAACTTGTAACCTGTAACTTTACGTGCCTTGCAGCAATACTATTTACTCCAATGTCCTTCCCCCACGCTCCCGCATACATCCGTCCCGCTGTCACCCGGCTTTGTGGGAGCTGTGTGTAGGCGGCTCCCTGGCAGCGGTTGCGTCTGGCACTGGCACACGCCAACCTGCAGCGAGCATTGGCTGGGGTGAAGGCGGGGGCAGTGGTGGAGGCCAAGGAGGTGGGGGCACGTGGTCCTGAGGACGCGGAGGGCACTACTGGCCCTGCTGGCGGCTCCATGTCCCCGGCGGCTACCACTCCCCCACTGCTGGTGGTGGGCACCGCCATGAAGCCCTCCCGGGAGCGGGACCTGGCAAAGGAGGGACTCCTGAACCTGGTTCCGATGGTAGGTGCATGTGGTTGTTGATGATAATATAATGATGGCGGTGATGATGATAATGATCATGGTAGTATATTTAATAGGATGTTAAATGATAATGAGGACGAGGATGAGGATAATGAAATTTTTTGAAAACCAACTGCCGACATCGAATTGCCAATCGTTGGCTATCCAAGGGAATGCTGAGTTGATGGCGATGTTGGGGTTGTAGAGGGAATGCCAGTGGAGGTCGGGGTGATATCACGACGCGGGGTGATGAATGCAATGAAGGAGTGATGTGTGGGCTAGGGAGGCGAAAGGGGGTGTGGTGATCAGGTAGCCTTAGTGTCAGATGTAAACAAGTCGGGTGTCGGCTTCCTCCTGCCGCACAAAGGCCATTCCATCTGCTCATGGCGGTAATAACATCTGTATGATCGCCCACCCTCAGTACTGCACGAGCTAGGGCCTTCTGTGCTTCAGCCACCAGTTCCGGTTGCAGCTCGAGTACTGCCATCGTGAGCAATTCCCGAAAGGCTGTCGTGTGTTCCCATACCGGTAACGGCCCAAGCTGCGGTTGGGCCAGCAGTAGTATATGTTCGACCGCCGTCCCTGCTGTGTGCAGCGGTAGTGTCCTCCTCGAATTTGCAGCACAAGCCGCTGCTGACATCCTTATCATATTATGCACAGCCAGAGCCTGCTCCCCGGCCGGTCCTAACGGCACCCGTGCCATCTAGGGTACCATCTAGGTTGGGGGCCGAGGGAGACACGGAGACGGAGCTCAGGAGGCGGGTTCAGGCGTCCCTCGTGACCACATCAGGCTTCCAGGTGCCGTTAGGACCGGCCGGGGAGCAGGCTCTGGCTGTGCGTAATATGATAAGGATGTCAGCAGCGGCTTGTGCTGCAAATTCGAGGAGGACACTACCGCTGCACGCAGCAGGGACGGCGGTCGAACACATACTACTGCTGGCCCAACCGCAGCTTGGGCCGTTACCGGTATGGGAACACACGACAGCCTTTCGGGAATTGCTCACGATGGCAGTACTCGGGCTGCAACCGGAACTGGTGGCTGAAGCACAGAAGGCCCTAGCTCGCGCAGTACTGAGGGTGGGCGATCATACAGATGTTATTACCGCCACGAGCAGATGGAATGACCTTTGTGCGGCCGCCTATGAAGCTTTTACCATGGAGAAAAGGTTGCTGCACCAGTCCCAATTTCGGGAATGGTGCGCTGAGATGGCGGTAGCTCTGGCAGAGACGGACTTGGTGGCAGTATTTGTTGAGTACATGCTGAGAATCCCAGACCCCGGCTCGGGCCTATGGGATTTCTTTGTGGCCACTGTGATCAGCAATCTCAACATGCTGCTGCTGCTGCTGTCAATCCTGATCTTCTCTCACCGCCTCAACCGGGAGCTGTTTGTTACCGTGGCCTCCACCCTCCTCTCCTTTCCCCCCTTCCGCCTGCATTCCGGCAGCCCTTTTATCCTGGGGCCAGTTGCGTCAGCGCTTTGGACTCCAGCAGCTTGGATTGCTCTGGATATATGTTACACATTAGCATCCTTCTTTTACAAAGATTTGCATCATGCCTCAAACTCCACAATTTGCACACCACCAAATGACGCTTGGGCTTCACACGCAGATGACTGAGACCTGCAACCAGTTCAGGCAGCTTCACGATCTTTCGCTTCATTGCATGTGTGTATGATCCCCTCCCTCCTGTCCTGTATGATTCCCGTCCTCCGCATGTTCTGTGTTGTGTCCAGGAGGGCCTCGTGTTCGCGCCCCTGGACCTGTCGCTGCCCCTGGAGCAGCAGCTCCCCTTCCACGCTATACTCCACAAGGCCTCCGACGAGCTCGAGGACGGCGAGGACGGCGTGCCGCGCTTCGGCCCGCGGGTTCGCGCCCTGGCGGAGTTCGTGTCCCGTCAGGGGCCCCCTGGAGTCAGCCTGGTGGACCCCCTGGAGGCGGCAGCCAAGGTGGAGAGGTTGGGAGTTGGGTGGTTTTGTGGTGGGGCTTTAGGTGGGTGGGAATGAAAAGGGGAGGATAGAGTGAAGGAGTGGAAGACCTGCAGGATGCAGGGGTACGTGTAGGAGGCGGCGGCCGTCTTCCTCCCTGCCTCCGTGCCCCCCTCCCCCTCCCCCTCCCGCCTCCCGCCTCCGGGCTCTCTCAGTTCCTTCATGTATTGTACATACGCTTTCAGGTCATTAATCGTACGGAGCTTGCGAGGGTGTGCGACTCCCTGTCGTTGCTGGATCTGACCACGAATTCAAATTTAGACAACGACCAGGATCTGGATTTGGGCTCGCTCCACTCCGCAGCAGTGACGACAGCAGCAATAACGGGAACCTCTGCTCCTCCTCCTCCTCCTGGCCCACATCCTTTTGCCTACAGCGGCAATGGGGATGGCGGTGCAGGTGCCAGTAGCGCTGGCGGTAGTGGTGGTAGTGGCCGTCAGGGCGCCGCGTCTACTGCAGCTGCTAGCGCCTCCTTGTGTGCGAAGCGACAGCGGATCGAAGGGCGCGTCATGGGGAACCTTGCCGAGGCCGAGGCTGAGGCTGAGGCTGAAGTTGGGAACCAAGGCCAGGTGGGCGTCAAGGTCCGTGTTCGTGCGCCGCGAAGCACCACGGTGTCGGCCTTCTCATCAGAAGAAGTGGCAGCGGCAATAAAGCGCCTCGGTGCGTACTTGTGTCCTTGTTGCGCTGTGCTTTGCTATGCTTTGATCCTGTTAAGTAAAAGGAAGCATACACCACATATGTGTGAGGATGGAAAAGCTGTTGCTACCCACTGACCTGCCGGTGAGCGGCGACCCGTGGGTCAGTCGGCCTGCAATCTCCCGCCCCGCCCCGCTCGCCGCGGCGTTCCGGAGTTACCCCACCACCTTGCCCTTGGCTCCTCCCCGGCTGCTATCGGTCCTGCTGCTGCTTCTGATCTGGCAACGTCCGGCAGGCTGTCCGCCGCCGTACATTGTGAAGCCCGTGGTGGCATGCGGCACCCCCGACTCCCACTCCATGGCGCTGGTGCTACGGGAGGAGGCTCTGGAGGGGCTGGGGCTGCCGCTGCCTGCGGTCATACAGGAGTTTGTCAACCACGACGCCACAATTTTCAAAGTGTATGTGGCAGGTGACAAGGTGTGTGTTTTGGAGTTGGGGGGTTGCGTTTGAAGCGTGCCTTATTCCTAGCAACTTCAGTGTTTTGAAAAGGGGTTACTAGTGACCAAGTGGTTACTGGGAAAATGATTCCCTACGGAAGGTGGTCACTAGGAAATGTTGCATGCTCAACAGCCGGCGTCATCTGCCAGTAACCAGGTGTTCGCCAGGAAATTGGGCCACAGACCCGCGGTAGTAGTGACCACCTAATAATGTAATGTTTTAGACGCTTGGATGGGAGCAGTGATGCTTAAGTGCGCTCGGCTCGGGAACGCGTTGCCGTACATAAGAGTCAAAGTTAATGAAAGCTTACTCAAGACGGCTTGTTTAAATTAAAATTTCTTCAAGTGAAGTCGGATCTTTGGATGCATGGTTCTAGTGGGCTCCTGTCCAGCATACTCGCTGAGGAAAAACTATTGTAGGGTGGTTACCTAGGAAAACCCCCACAGTAACCACTTGGTCACGACAAAGTTACCAACGGTGAAAAAGTTATAAAAGCACCGTACTAGCAACCCATGGCACTAAAAGCACCGTACTAGCAACCCATGGCACTAGAAGCACCGTACTAGCAACCCATGGCCCCAGGACTTGCCAGCGAGAGGTTCTCCAGGAGAACAGCTAACAGCACCTCCCAGGCCCTACCCGCACTGCCCGGGTCCCGGCGACTACGCAGGTGTTCCACACGGTGCGTCCGTCCATCCCCAATATCCCCCAAAACCCTTCCGAGGCGCTGCAGCTGGCGCCCCGCGGGGCGCTGCTGTTTGACAGCCTCAAGTCGCTTCCCACTTCTCTTCGGCCACTGCAAGCGGCCCAAGATGGGAGTGCTGCCACTTCGGCGGCGGCAGCGCCAGCGCGTGCAGCAGCAGTGGCTGCCGTACCAGCCGTGCGGCGGCCGAGTCAGGTTGTATTGGAACGTCTAGCGGCTCACCTCCGAGCCGAGCTAGGGCTCTCCCTGTTTGGATTTGATGTGGTGGTCGAAGCCGCCGCGGGCGCGGCAGGCCCCACCTCCGGCAGCGCGTGCGCTGGCGGCGATGGAAGTGGTAATGGTGGTGATAAGGGCTCGGAGGAGGATGCCAATGGTAATGGTGGTGGTGGTGGTAATTCTGGTGGTGAGAAGGAGCAGCTGCAGCCGCAGCACCAGGAGCTGGTGGTGGTTGACGTGAATTACTTCCCCAGCTATCGGGGTGCGGAAGGGGCGCCAAAGCTGTTCCGTGCTGCGGTACGGCAGGCACATGAGCGGCAGCAGCGCGGCCAATTGTGAGGTGGGCAGGGCTAATAGGAGTAGCGGTAGCAAGGTCAGCAGGAGGCTGCAGTAGGTTTTGTTTCTAGATGCCCCTGGTGGTTCTAGAGCCGGGTGCAGGGCTTCTGGCTGGATGTGCAGGTATCGAAGTTTGTCTCATGCACTGGCTGTGATTGGTAGCCGTAAATGCGTATCGCATTTTTTTATTATTTTGATGCCATGCAGGTAACGCCACCTTGCAGGATATAGGTGCCTAGCACGGGGTTGTGCTGCTCGAGGATGGGCTTGGTATCCGAGACCGTAAATGGTACTGGTACCATGGGTCCTCCAGAGCAACTTCGGACGCGGAAGAAGTGTTGCCATGCGTTCAAGTGACGCCTGGTGCTATTATATATATGTATATAATCGTAATATGTAACTTCCGACTTTGTCTGCAGTACCGAGATCTGCACAGAAGATGTGGTCGGTTATGTAGCTTCTTATGTCTTCGGACAATAAGATAACGGTCCCGCATTGCCAGCTAGCTAGTGTGTTCCTGTAGGTGTATTCCTTCTGGAACCGTAACCATCCAGTTTGACAGGCTGAACCGAATTCATGATTGCAGCCAAACAGATTTCGGAACACGTTGCGCATACTGGTACCTAAAATTCAACTATGTCGGCAGGATGCACCTATTGCGTCCACCTATGGGCTATCCAGGAACAAAGCAAGTCCTCAGAGGTGGAGGAACAGAATTAGATGAAATCAATAATGCCTCATAAAAGTATTAGTAAACTTGAAGGGAAAGCTTGTAAGCATCTAGGGGACCCTGTACGACGTCTCATGTGCATCGCCCTGCATCTGCAGCTTTCTACAATCGGCAGCTTGTAGGCACAGTTGTGGACATAATTCCCTTCTTCACTTCGCTAGTGGATCTTGTAGCTGGGGTTGGATCTGGTCGTCGTCAGCTCAGGACCACAGGACCATGGCCCTTGCGAAGTGCCCGGCCAAAGCCGGTGTCCGCCCAGCTGCTCGCGCGGTTGTGCTCCCTGGTATCTCGCGGCGTGCCGTTGTCTGCAACGCTCAGCAGCAGGTGAAGCAACGGCAGTCTTGCGCTTGCTTGCGCTTGGCCCTTCAGTTTAGTAGGCTCGATCCCAACCCTATCCTTATGGAAAATGCAGTCTAACTTCGGTCAAAAGCTTGCCAGCGCTGGCGCTGCAGCCCTGCTTTCGCTCGGCGCTCTGGGTGCTCCGGCCATTGCTTCTGAGTTTGATATCCTGGCAGAGCCAACGCCCTCAGCCAACTACTACATTGACGATGCTAACGTACTCAGCAAGGCAACCCGCACCGACTTGAACAAGCGTCTGAAGCTTCTTGAGGTGCGGCAACACCCTATTGCTGCAGCAGGAGCAAGGCACCAATTCGGTAATTCGTCAGCCCTGCTAACGGGACGTTGCACCTTTCGCTTGCAGATCCAGACCGGCTACCGCGTTGAGGTGGTGACTGTGCGGCGCCTGGAGTTCGAGACGGACGCTTTCGCCTTCGCTGACAAGGTGCGTTATGCAAGAGTCATATCGCACATGGGCACCCCGGTCCTTTCCTTCTTACCGCTTCCATTCCTGGTCCTAAAGCGCCCTCAATCTGGGCCTGCTCACTTTCATCAAAGGTCTGTTGGGCTTTGTGACACGTCTCGTAATTCCGCTAAACTGCGCGACAGGTTCTGGAGAACTGGTACCCGGACGCTGAGGCTGGCAAGAGCAAGGGTGTGCTGCTGGTAGTCACGGCCAGCAAGGAGGGCGCTGTCACCGGCGGTCCGGCCTTCACGGAGGCTGTGGGCGATGAGCTGATTGACAGCATCATCAGCACCAACATCCCCATCTTTACCGAGGAGGAGAAGTACAACCAGACTGTGATCAGCTCCGTGGATCGCCTGGAGGCCAAACTGCAGGGCAACCCGGTCCCAGGTGGGTTGGGGATGGGATGGCTGGGATTGGGTGGTGGCAGGGAGAAGAGGTGGATCTGGGTTTTGCGGCATGCGATTATATCCTTGTGTAGACGGATGGACTGGGATAACATGCCTCTTTTCTATTGCTGGATTTGGTTCACTGTATATGTTGGACGGACATCCTGGTGTTGCGAACAAGGGCTAGGGGAGTAGCGTGAGTCCCACTTTGCCAACAACGCTCTTTCGGAAACACAGTCAACCGCTGTGAGGGGTCAGCCGCTCGCGCGCCAAGTATCTACGGCTCTTTCGTCCGGTCGTAAATATATTTCTGCACGGCAAATGGGTGGTTGGGTTAAAAAACAGCTTTTCTTCTCTGGTGGGTTTAACCTGATGCCGCTGCAGAGGCGCCGGTGAAGAACGAAGTGGTCCGTGAGCGCACGTACCGGACTAAGGAGGAGACCGAGAAGAGCAAGAACGTGACCAGCACTGTTGTGGGAACTCTGCTGCTGATTGCTGTGGTGGTTCCCATGCTCCAGTACTATGGCTACACGGCCAAGGATTAAGCTGCCTGGTTTTTGGCAGGGACGAGAAGATATGATCTAGCTAGCTAGTATGATCTTGAACAAGGGGAATTTCCCTTCGCCTCGAGCAGAGGTTTATGTGGACGGCTTCCTGTTGACTGGTTTATTTGGCTGTGATGGCCACCTTTTGGCTGTTGTTTTCTGGCCAGGTTAGCCTGTTCATTTCGTTGCTGTGGTTAAGCCTGCTGGGTATGCAGGTGGCGGTATTTATTACAGTACCGAAATTTTGTCTCTTGAGGCTTAAGAGCAGGAGAAGTTTGAAGCGTGAGCGTACGTACCGGCGGAAAAGTGAAACCCGAACAATTTCGAACTGAAACGGACTATCGCCAAGGAAATCCCTTAAAGATTGGGTAATGTCCTTCCTCTCTTGCACACATTTTCACACGCATATGAGCGCTGTTCGACAGGCTACACAAATCCCGCTCCCCCAACAACACCCTATACCTGCTGGCCGCCACACTCCTACGGCATCTGCGCTACTACCTGTTCCACTCCGCCGCTCGCCGTGCCGTTGCCGTGTGCTGTGCAGACATGCTGCAAGAAGTGGACTGCAATAGCGATGATACCATCGTGTTCGAGGCAGCCGGTGGTCTGTGCATGTGGTGCGAGTGCTGAGATCCGCGCGCAGATTGATTTGCCATCAGCACAAAATACAAGTAAACACACAGCGCAATGCTAGCGCGTCAGGTCACATGTAGTCCGCCTGCAGCTTCTCCACAACCTCGTGCGGTAACAACGACAACAGCCAGTCCTTTAGTTCGCCAAGCGCCCGTGGCTGTGCGTCAGGATTGAACAAGGGAAGGGAGAAGCTGAGATGAGAAAAGCCAAAGAAATCTGTTGGCATATCGTTTAGTGTGTATAAATGAAAATTCCTTTTCGGACATAGTACATGGAGGTTTGCATTTAGATGCCGAATGCGTGATCATCAGAGTCCATCGCGACACAACTCCGCAGTCGCAAATAGACCGGAGCGTAACGAAGCAACAGCAGTAAGCAGTAGTCACGTGGGGGTATGCAGGTAGCATTTGGGGAGTCGGCTCGGCTCGCAATTACAGCGATCATATCCTTCCGTTTATTTGTACATGTACATGGATGGTGTATTTGGGTGAAGCAATACCGGATTAAGTAATTCATTGTGGATGATAACTCGGATGTCCGTATAGCTTTGTTTTTCTTTGCCGAGTGGAGTCGCACGCAAGGAACGGATGTCGCCCGTTCTTCTCTACATGTGTGAACTCGTTCATGACGAGCCAAACACGCACATCTGTTCGGATTTATATTAGTTCTTGGATCGTCTAGTATGTGAGAAGGCTAGGGCGGTAACCAAACGAAACACACACGCACTCGCATAGCTTTATTGCCCTACATGTTCACCTGGGCGATGTTATTTCCTGACCACGCCCGCACGCTTACCTCGCCACACGGACCGCACGCTCGCACAGACTACAAAACACTGCCAGCCAAGCCTGGGCACCTTCACTCGACAACAACAACTCTTAGCCAATCACAAATTTTGCTAGCGGAGAAGGTCGAAACGCTTACCCACCCCGAGTGTGTAATAGCCGCGTTCCGGCTCATACAGCCAGCCATCGTGCGCAAAGGCCTTGAGGACGCTCTCCTTGTCCAGTTGACTGAGCTTGCGCGCCTTGGCCGCCGACTGAGAGGCCCCCTGCGTGGCTCCGCTCTGCCGCTGCACATCCACATTCTTCAGCCTAATCTGGCTGACGCTGGCCAGCAGGCGGTTCTCCGCAGGCTCCGCCTCACACAGTGCCTCCACCTGAATGACGCAGAGCACCCCACCACCAGCAGGACGGGTAGGGTGTGGCCCCGTGTGGGCAAATGTGTATCGCCAACAGCACAGCACACAGCTCAGCAGGCAGCGCAGCAGATCCCCGGGTGCCTGCTAGGTGCCAAGGCCAATAAAAACCATGGTCCACATTTGCCGATTACGGTACCGGGCTACGGTATCGGATCGAAGGTCGTACGCTTTCGCCGTTGTAACTAACATGGCAACCTAAACCGTTCTGCAGCAATTAGATTAGATCCAGCCTTCCGTGTGGATAGCATCATTTGAGAAGCCGCCAGTCGCGAGCCCACGCAGCGCACCGCACTGCGATTCACATCAGGGATGAGCTGTTGGCCATGGGCATCTCTTTCAGAACGGAATGTCCATATCAACATCAGCAGATCATGTGTAGTTGATTTACAGGAAACGCGGAGGGCCTCCATCCCGCTCACCACGGAGCGATAATACTGCACTTGGTCTGCCGTGTACTTGGAGCCCAGCTGCTTGGAAGCATCGTCCTTCTCCTGAAAGCAGGGAACCACCGGGGCGAGGTGTTCCCATCGAGTGCACAAGAACTATGCGCTTGGGTGTGCGTGCGTGACAACAAATGATCAGGAATGCAACATAAGCAGCAAAAGCCCGAACAAGAAACTACAGGGGTTGGGATCCCCTGGCGAAGGACCAGCTAAATGAGTCCTTTTCCCCACCTTCACGCGATTCCTTCTGCAATATTGCAGCCCCCTCTTCCATATGAGCAACGCGTGATATCGCAGCAGCCTGGACGGCCCCTTAGCCCCCAATGCCAGCACACTTGGACAATACCTGCACACCCACGCACCTTGCCCACAAGACAGACGTACCACGTATTGTTCCACTGCATGTGCAGGACACAGCACGATGAGAGGCGCGGCGCGGCGGCACATGGAATGCCCCGTGGTCAGCAGGCGTACATGCAAACACGCACGTATGGGTGTTTACTTGTGCACGTGCGCGAGGAACGCTTACAATGGAAGACGTACACTCATACAGTGCACTGGATGGCGCAGAACATAAGATATTAGACACAGATTATTTCTTACAGGACTCGGACGCAACATAACATAATAGGGAAAGTTCAAGCAGCTATGAAGTCAGTTGGGTTGCGCAATAACAGCAAGCAGCCGCACCAGCATCTACCGCGGCGGGCCTCCACCAGCCCTCACTGCGGTTGGGTCAACGTGCAGCAGTAGCAGGAAAATCGTAGCAGCGACAGCACCAGCAGTAGCAGCAGCAGGGGCACCACTTACGGGAAACTTGATGCGCTCTATGGACAAGCCCAGGAATTCTGTATCCCGCTGAAGCTTCGATAGTACCGGCATGTAGGCGTCGTCTGGTGGGAAATGGGAAGGATGGAGACCGCATAAATCGCACGGTGAAGACGAAGAAGGGTAGTGGGAGAGGGGCTATTAGATAAGGGAAAATAGCCTGAGCGCGACTAACGCGGTCAGCACCCAGGAAGCAAGCGAGATGTCGTGCTCACTTAAAGGGCAAGAAGTAACCTCAATTGTGACCCGGACGTTGGTTGGTGGTGAAGTAGCGGCACGCATGAAGGGTGCTTTGTCTTACCCGAGTTACGCTGCGCCAAACGGCGGACCATAGCCTAGGAAGGGTTTGGAGAGAGCCCACGAGCAGATATACGAGAGGGGAAATATGAAAGGGGAAAGGGGATGAGCAAAGCTGCTTCGGAGTGATGAGAAAGCCACATCCCTAGGCCCACCTTGACTTCGACCTCCTCCAAGCAGCCCCCTGAAATGATAGCTTGACCAACTGTGAAAGTTACGTAGTCTGGAAAGGTCGAAGCCGAACCACTTGGCCCTGCCCCGTCGTTGCCGTGCTGAGCCTGAGTTGCTGGCTGGCTGCCGCCAGGTGCCCGCCGGGGGGGCATCCTTGGATTATTTCGACAAGCACACAATCAAAAGAGCACTCTAAGAACCTATCACAAGTTCGCGAGATAGTCTGAAGAGCACTCTAAGAACCTATCACAAGTTCGCGAGATAGTCTTCATAAGCTTTATCTCGCGCCCTTTCCAGTCCTTGTCCAGATTTAACCATTGGATGCATCTACAAACAAAAATATATGCGAAAAAATCGAATCTGCTAATTAGGACATAGTATTGGCTCTGGCAAGTTGCACATGGCAAAACCTATTTGACCGTTAATCTCGTCCATTTGCAAACCCTTGCGCGCGAGAATGCTCACCCGCTTTCGCGTTCCCAGTACTTTTTCAATTAGGACTTTAATCGCATTATCATGGCTACGAGTTGCAGCCGGGCTCTCGCAGCTGGCGTGCAGCGCGAGTTTGTGCAAGGCAGAGCGGTCACTTCCGAAGTCCTCTTAACACGTGGTCGCGACAACCAGACCGTAGCCTTCTTCGAAGGCGACCAAATTTTAGATGATGACACACGAGACCTTCTTGGGGCGCAGCGCTGGTCGCCTGAATCCCACCTGGCCATGCTTCGCCCCCATACAGGCGACGGCCCCTCGCTCCTCCTGTGAGCAGGAACCAAGCTGCACCCAACCTTGCCGACGAGCCACACCAACCAGCCAGCGATTCCCAAGCCTCCTTCCATCCTCGCTCAGTTTGTGTGTGCATGCACCAGCTTCCTAGTTTTTTGCTTACACCCTCATCCAAACCCATCCAACCACCATACTCCGACCATTCTACCACCAAAGACCTCATATGTTGCTGCACGTCTCTGCGCGAATCCCCTTGCAGCGTTATGCCAACAACACTGGCCCCAGGCGGCCAGGCCTGTTTTGGCAATTTCCTAGGCGCCATGACAGCCGCGGGGGAGCCCCTGGGGTTCAGACCTCAAGGCTTCCTGGCAGCAGCCCACCTGGCGGCCATCCTGGCGGCATGCGGATGTGGGGCTGGCGGCGGCGGCGGTGCAGGCGACAAGGTTGGCGGCGATGATTCAGGTGGCAGCGGCGGTGGCAACTGTACCACCTCCCAGGGACGGGTTGGCAGCGGCGGCAGCAAGCACCTGGCGGAGTGGAGGGGGGCGCCACTAACTCTGATCGGGTTCTCCAAGGGCGCTGTTGTGGTGAACCAGGTGAGCCACCACCGCCACCGCCATCAACAACAACAGCATCACCACCACCACGCAGCACCCCGTACCCGGGAAAGCCTCCCCTACCCGTCCACTCCCCACCTCCCCTTGGCATCAACTTCACTCGGTCGTGGTTCGTCTTCCCCACCTCCCTCTCGACACCTCTCCGCTACCTTGTTGAACCACATCGCGACACACAGTTGCTGGCGGAGGTGGCCTGGCACGAGCAGGAGCTGCACGGGCCGGCAGCGTCCCGGCAAGCCGTAGCACCGGCGGCGGATTTGGTACGGCAAGCTGCAGGACCCCATGGCAGGGCTCACACTGCAGGGCGCACAGCAGTAGCATCGTTAGCTAGAGCAGTAGCAACAACAACAACAGTAGCAGCAGCAGCAGTAGCAGAGAACGAATCAGCACCGACGTCGATGGCGACGACGACGCGGACAGGCGATGGTAGTGATTCCGGGTCCTTGGGGACCGACGCGGCTGATCCTGCTACTGCCGCCGGCCCCCGCCCTCCCTTCCAACCGCCTGCCGAGCCGCCACCCATTGATGGAACTGTCACCGCGGTCCTGGACAGCATTCGCGCCGTACATTTCCTGGTTAGTCGTGTACATGGTAATGGTATCCATGCGAGCTGGGTAGGGCAACCGCACGGGCTCAATTTGGCCCATCCTTCCTCCCACCTCCTCACCCCTTACCCCCCCCCCATTTCTGTGTGTCTGGTGTGCAGGATGCGGGGCTCAATTGCCGTGGAGTGCATCTCACCGACCCGGCCGTGGTGGCTCAGATAGGGAGGAGACACCGGAGACTGCCCCTCGTCGTACATTTGCACGGCACACCGAGGCAATGGGGTGAGATGTGGCCGACCCGGAGGGAATGTGTATTGGAGCTGGAGGCGGTGCGTGGTAGCAACGATGGCGGTGGTGGTTGCGGGGTCAAGCTGGGGACCGAGTGCAGGTGGCTATTTATTTACTTTGGAATGTATAGTCTATCTAAGATCCGCTGCGCGCATTTGCTACTCGCACGCCTTTTCCCAAGTGAGGGGATGTATGTTTTGTTTTCTGGTGTGTGTTTTGCCTCTCTTGATGTCTTGACTGTCTTGGCGCAGGAGACAGGAAGCGGCCGTGGATCGCGCAGGAGCGGGACCGCTTCCTGGGGCTGCTGAGGGAAGCCGGCGTCCCCGTGCACGTGCACGAGTATTTTGCTGGGCAGCCGCCATCGTTGCGACAGCATTTTGACGTGATAGCCCACATGCGAGGGCTTGCCGACGACCTTCTATAGCTGCGGCCTTTGGGTGCGTGCGGATGCAAGAAATGAAATGGAGTTGAGGGTTGTAGCTTGAAGGGGGATGGAGGTAAATGCAATGGTAGTTTATTTCGTTTGCTGCGGCAGTTTCTTCGAGAGCTGTCTTACGAAGTGGCTTGGTTATGGCCGGCGCGTTGACCTGGGCTTTGCAATCGTAGCGCATAATCCTACGCACATATAGCTCTCGCACGCAGCCGTATTTGACTGACTTATTACAGGTAAGATTTCAGACGCTACCTCGGAACTTCGCGAACCGTTGTCCCGATAGGGGTGTTTCCATTGGCACGCGATTTGGGAATTTCCCATATGGCTAAGGAAGCGTTTAGTGAAAAATCTTAAATTCCCTTTTCAATTGGCGCACCAGCGACGTACAAATTGTACACCATTCCACCATGGTAATGTCAAAATACATAATGTTTTTTCTCATAAACACCCGCTGTTCTTTCTCATAAACACCCGTTTTCTTCTTGCGTAAAACTTTATTTTTCTGTTATTTGTTTTGTTTGTTTCGTTTACTTTTTCTCGTTTTTCTTTTCCCTATCGACGGCGCTGTCAAAGCGGTCCGGGTTCGTTTGGGCCGTACAAGCTCGCTGAAGCTTGTAACATCCATCCATCCATAATGTTTTGTGCATTTCTTCCCCTGTTTTGTTGTAAAAGTCTACATGGGGCTGCTTTTGCCCCATGGGTCCCATGGACAAACTGTACCGATACCTGAGGAACACGCGGTGCGCAAGCATTTTTTAAAAGTATAGCTTCTAGTGTAGTATGCTTCCTATTATTTATAGGTCCTGTGAACGCCATGCGTACATGGTTATGAGTGGTCAACGGCTACCAACGGTTGTGCGAGACAGTAATGTTTTGTCAGGTCACAGTGCACAAACTTGTAGAGGTATCTTTAGCTGCTTATTGTAAATTATTTATTAATTAATTGTAGAAGGATGCCGCGTGCAAGACGTACTACATTGTAACTCTATCGGAGGCAGTACACCGTTACTATCTACCTGACAAAAGTCTGTCTAGGCTTAGTTCAAGTTTGTGCCGGGCTTAGAAATCTTCTTAGAATGGCTTCAGATTACACAGCCGAACCTGATCTTGTAAAGATAGGGGAGCTGATGCCCGATAAGGTTATGCCAAAAATGCTCCTGAGAATTATCGTAAATGCACAATGACTGGCAAACGGTGCCATTTTGGCAGGGCAGCTGCTTGCCCGTCAGGCGTCTGGGGATGTGGACACGAGCGGTTGCAGCGGCCCTCCTGCTGGCTCTTATCGCACCTATTAGTCCATTTACATTTAATATAGGCGCACCCTCTGGTGACTGTGGTGGCGGCAGCGTCGTGAACGGCCTGAAGTTTTTCGAATGGCTGGCCGATAACAAAGCTGAGGAGCTCGCCATAATTGATTCGTCACACACCTACCCTGTTAAGTATGTGGCATCGACAGCTAAGTCAAATTGCTCGTCCGCAGCGTTGGTGGCGTCCATACAAAGCCTGGCGCAGTCATGCCATTTCCTCATCGCTGGCAATGGCTATGCAGCGGAGCAATCCCTGGCAGCGGACCGCCTCCAGAGATTCCTCATTCACGCCAGCGCATCTCCAGACTTCGTTTTTAAGCTGGTGGGGTGGGCAGTGGTGTTCTGGGACCGGGACCCTGTTGGGTTAGCTCCTCCAGCTCGTCCGCCGGGCCCCTCGTAGTCACAACTCACTCTCCCTCCCTAGAACACTTCCCATCTGTCTCGTACCGCCGCCGCCGGTGCCACCAGGAGGGGTGGGCCACCCTGCTTCTCGAAGTGGGGGTTGGGGAACTGCGGTGTCCGCAGCAATCGGAAAGGAAACACAAAAGGGATCTGAGCCTTAAGGCAGGTGCTGATGTGCAGGGTGCTGCAATCGCAACATACAGATAGACTGACTGACTGACGCACATACACACGCACACTGATAGGGAGCGGCCCATTCCGGGCGACAGAGGAAGCAAGTGTGACTGTCAGGCTACCAGAAGGGGATGTTATGAAAATGAATTGAGCTATAAGAAAGGCTCACTCAACCTCCTAACGGTGTGTGCAGCCAGGCAGGGGAACACCACCAGAGGGGAGAAGACCACCTTCTCGCCCTCCCAGTTCCCGTACGGAGTGGGCTGCACCTCCGGAAACCTGGCCGTACAATCCTCCCCCCTCCACACACACCCGAGTGACACGCATGCGCTTGTTTCCCCCCTTACCGCAATATTTCAAGTACTCACCAAACCCACTGTGCGCATCCCTAACGCCCCCCACCCGCGCCACGTAGGGACTGCCGTACGTGTACGGCATTACGGCCTCCCCAGCGATGTACGCGGCGCCAGTGCTAAAGGCCATGGTGCTCAACGGCATTCTGCGAGTGGCGCTGGTCTGGCAGTACGGCGGGTACGATAGTGATGACGTCAGCGGAGGTGGCGGCGGCGGCGGCGGTAGCTCACTGGTGGCGGCGGTGTGCGAGGGCGCGCTGGCGCAGCTGCCAGGGCTGCGGCAGCTCCGTCCTGATATGCGGCTTCAGAACCTTTCCTTCAGCGCCGCCGAAGCCGCGACGCCGGGCTTCTTCCGTCGCCTGGTTGACGCGGCCATTGCCGCGGGCGCACAGGCGCTGGTCGGTTGCGGACCGCCGGCGGCGGCGGAGGGCCTGGCGGAGGCAGCGTTGGCGGCGGCGGCGGCGGGACGGCCCCTGGCGGCGGTGTTCCTCATCGACAGCTCGACGCAACCTGGCTTCCTGCAGGCTTCCAGGGGCGGTGCTGGTGCCGGCCTGCCGTACGGTCTATCAGCAACGCAATGGAGCAGTGCAGCGCAGTACAGAGACGACTTTTTTGGTTCTGCAGCGGCGTACGGCAAGCAGTTCGCCGCTTGGGCAGGAGTGCCAGCAGACGCTGACGCAGCCGGCGCGTCGGCAGCAGCACTGACCCTGGCACTGGCGCTGCGCACGGCGTTTGTACGGTGCAACATCAGTCGCGACGTCGTACTGCTTGGCGACGCTGACAGGCTGTTGTACGACCCGACGGCGCTGACTTGTAGCGGTCCGCTGGGATGGGTCGTGGCCGCCGCCAACGGCATGACAGCACAGCTGGCCGCCGTGCCGTACACTGGTACGCCGACGACGGCAGTAGCGGCCGCGACGACTATGAGCACTGCCGTGACGGCTGTGTTCAACGTCACGGGGTACGGTATGGTGTCGCAGTCTCTGTCGCATCAGCGTGTGGAGACGTTTTACGGCCCGGTAAGCGTGTGTGTGTATGTATGTATGATGTGTGGAACAGGGGGTTCATATCTTCACCCTGTGGCCGCTACCCGGCGAAACCCTGCCTTCCCCGGTATTTCGGGGCACCCTCACTGTTGTAGCGCGTTAGAGCGTTACAGAACTTAATAGCTGTGTGATTAAGGCACGACTTGATAAGACTGAGCTACGAACAGTCTACGGATATCTTGGAGTTTAGACGTGCTTCCTAACCAAGGAATGACACGAACTTGACGGCCGCGAACCGAAGTGGAAAGCCGGTCAGAGCCCAGAAATTTTCCGGGCTTTCAACCGGGAGCCAACGTTCGGATGGGGATTCAGGGGGTTCCCAATTACCTCCGGATTCCTCAGAGGAACGGCGCCCTGATGGGCCCGCTTCAATCATGGAGTTCGGCGGCAAGGGCAGCAATTTGCTCGTGCAGCGCTGACGTCTCGGGGCTCTGGATCTGTTCCGAGTCCTGAGAGTTCTGGCCCGGGTTCTGGTTCTGGTTGCTGGGGACGGGTCGGGACCCGCCAGCCTCAGAGTCGTTCACATTCCCAGAGGGACCCGCAGCAGGGGCTGCGGGGCGCCTCCGGCCAGAGTCGGGTTCTCTGGGGGGTCTACCGTTGCAGGGTCACTCACCCAGTCACCCTACCCGACTTCTCAGTGGATCATTCAGTTTCCGCACCCACCGTGCGGTGTTTCCTGTCCTCCATGGCTTTGGGGCGTGTAGATATTGCCCTTGGGCCTTCGGCTCGTATGGGTAGTTTTATAGGTATGGGGTCACCCACCCCCAACCATGTATAACACACACACACACACACACACACACACACACACAGCACCAGCATCCAACGGAATCTGCCGGATGGATCAACGGCAGAGGCTCAACTCCATTCCTGGCCAGCTCGCAGGTCTACTTTATCCAGGTTACCACCGTCCATCGGTTAGGGGCACTCTTACCTTCCACTATCAGAAGGATTTTCTCGACCCTGACAGGTCTCGATCCCGGAACCTCCGGGGGCATGTATGCATGTATGCAGGTGCAGTTCGATGCCCAGGGCCGCAATGCGGCCAAGCCGCCCCTCACCACACAGCTCCTGCCCGTTACCACCTCCACCACCACCACCGCCACCACCACCGCCACCACCTCCACCACCTCCACCGCCCCCGCCACCGCCACCACCACCACCGCCCCCGCCACCACCGATCCGGATCCGGATCCAGGCAACGTGGCGGGGGGCACTTCCAGCGGGTCGTCAAACTCCTTCGTGGCGGTGGTGTTGCCGCTGGAGGCCGCTAATGGGTTGCTGGTGGTGCAGGGACAGCAGCAGCAGCAACAACAACAGACAACGACCACTGCACAGGTACGGCAGGAGTTGTAACCCGGGGAACCTCCAGTTCGCTGGGGGTTAAGGGGGGGGGAAATGGGAGTTGCTGGGAAGCAGGAAACCGCCAAACACATCCCAGCCCCATCCGTAACCTCTCCCTCTCCCCCCACCGGCCCCGCACACCTCCCCTCCCTTTCCCAGAGCGGCTCTGGTGCCGTACTGGGTCCCGGTTTCGTAGTGGGCCTTATCGTGGGCGGTCTGGTGCTGCTGGGGTCACTGACGGCCGTGGGGTGTGTGTATCGGCGACAGAGGCGGCGGCACCGCAACCTGTTTGGGCAGGTGGGAGGGGGAGTGGGGGGGAGTGGGGGTGGGGGGCGGTGTGTACGG